ACATGCATTTTAATCCAAACAGCAAGAAAGAAGAAAAAGCTTGTTGTTGTTTGTAACTAAGCACAAAGCTACACAATGGGCAATCTGTGCTCTGCCCACCACGGGTATCGAAACCTGTATTTTAGCGTTGTAAGTCCATAGACATACCGCTGTGCCACTGGGGGCGAAAGAAGAAAAACAAAAGCAATCCTAGCTTGCAAGAAAAACGATTTAGAAATAGAGTTTTGAAACATACTGTACCATATATAGTAAAACTCTATGCATAATCACTCTGTACATCTTATAGTAATCCTTACATGGGTAACCTTTCACTGTAAAATCTTTCATGCTTAAGCAAGTAACCAATTAAATATATAGATGTTTAATTAGTTCTTTTCATTCAAACTGGCATCGTGTGATCCAGAAGTATATATGAAGAATTTAATTCAAGATGCCGTTTAGCTAAGACGTTTAATAATGTTGTAAGCTATATATTTTTAATTTTGCAAATTATTTGTTAGTAGCGGGAGCTGCAGGTTTTTGATAATGCAATGTGCTCTAGAATGAAACTTAGTTATACAAATTTATCAGTCGAGATAAAAGACAGTTGTTTCTGCATAAAGGGTTTGATATCAATGATTGCTTAAGCCTAGAAGTTACAACAATGCTCAAGCTTGTATTAACATTAAACGAGGAAATAAAGTAATCTGTGACTGTTACAGGACTGAACGTTAAATTATTTTGGCTAGATAATCTTAAATAACCAGACAACGAAAGAATTGTGCTTAAGCAGTAAAAATATCATACTTTTTTTAGTTTTAAAATTCTCAGGTATATTTCTTATCAGAAAACCAAGAAACTTAGCATATATATATATATGCTCTTACAGAGGGTTGAAATTATAGTTCGATACCAAACAAATGTCTATGACGTAATAGTTCTATGAAAACAAAGATTGTGTTTCTATGCGACCATGAAGCCATAGTTCCACGAAGTTGGACCAGCATAAAATTGATCAACATGTTTCTACATGACTATATTTAATACAGTCAGTTTAAATCACTACTTTATTAGTTAATTAAATTTCCTGACCATTTAAATCGTCCTTTTAGGGTGATATCATACAATAATTAAAACTTACTGTTTGACTTTTTAATTATAAAACAAATGATTAAAGATTTTCAGTAACATCCTTATAATAAAATAACCTGCACACAACATTTCTTTTTTAACAATTCATTAATTTTCTCACAATTGAGATTTTGCAATCTGATCTACAGCAAAATCATGAACAAACATATCATTACTATCTTTGTGGGATCCAAATTTAGATAAGAGTTTTCGTTTCGACACCTGTCAACAACAATAATAAGCATAATATATACAACATCGTCCACACACACACAGACGAATATGGTTCTTGCAAATAGTTGTTCTTGATGAATTTTCTTATGTTGAGATTATGTGGAGTTAGTCCTAATGGATCAAAATATTCTGCTTTTTTATTTCGACCAAAATAAATGCAGACCTAGTGGTTACCGGGTTTATGACTCGGATCCAGGTAGATGATATATAATTGTTTTTCTGCATGGTCAGGTAGTTGATAACTGGCAAAACACACCTTCAAACTTTTTCTCGGACACACATCCTGCGAGAGTATCAAATAAATTTCTATTGTGTTCATAGCTTCCTAGATATCAGTTTTGATGTTTCTAGACTGATCAATTTTTAAAATTGACTGAAATTCTGAATATGCTAGAACATTTAGTGTTGGATAAGGCACTACCTTAACGTATTTCAATTCATAAATTTTCCGGTTTCACCAAATTAAAGTGAGAATCTCCAGCAGATAGATCGGGTGTAAGATCAAAGGCAAAACGTGTATATCCTCCCGAGTATTCGTCGTATCCTATATTAATTCCTTGATCTTGAAACTGTTTTCTATTCCACTAAATAATGTTGTATAGCTTCTTGCGTATAGTTCACCATCAAAACCTGGTTGTATAGGTCGAGCACGAATTTATTTTCCTTCCATGTTGATTGCCACGAAATTGATACTGTAATGTTTGAAATTGTATGGATGTTTCTTCCAAGACCCATTAAATGCATCATTATCAACACATTCCATAACAAGATGTATAGGTACATGACCTAAAAAACATTATCAATATATGCTTGTAAGTTTTCCTGGGAAACTGAAAACGATTTGTACAATATATTTCAAAGGATATTTAGCTGTACCTTTCTGAAATGCTTTAGCATGTAATAGAAGGACTGATGGTTTGATTTTGACTTTTCTAGCGTAGACTGAAACGTATTGTAGCACAATTTTGAATTCCGATTCATCATTTGGCATAATACAAAACGAATTTTTACTTTGTACGAGTCGGAGTTTTAAACTTACACCATTAGGCAAGAATTTGTTCTGTAAAATATATATCTAGTGTCAGTCTTTTATTACATCGTTCTCACCTTCGATAAAATCGAGATCGTCATAACTACCCGCCGTGTATTTTATCCACATGGATAATGTCAAATGATTTCTCTTAACTTCACCATTATAACTCAGTAAAGTTTCTTTGTAGGCCTTATACGTGTAAAGGTTGTCAGAAAAAGAAATTAGTCTGTCATTCAGGTGTACATCAATTTGATAAAATAGAGAATGAAGTAACAAGTTGACAGGTGTAGAGGTATCTTCATCCTTTTTAATTTTGGTCCTATCAGGCTTGACAATCTTTGCTTTTACATGAAGGTATGATTAGGCAGGATCTAAATATTCATCAACTTCTCCCGATATAGAAAATTTGATAGGCCCTCTGTTTGTCACTGATAATAGAGGATAATATTCAGTCCACTGACCTTCTTAAGTCACTGTTTGTGTGGGAGGGCGAGAAAATATGTCTAGCTCAGACTTTGTACACTAACAGACTTTCCATGTGGTAGGAGGGTGATGATTACTTGTTGAAAAGTCTGAAGTGGATGTTATGCATCACTTAGCTTTTGTTATTCTGAACCTGGGACCTTTCTGTTTCTTCTTTTTATTATGTAGAACTTCTCTTGCCATATTCTGAGCTCCTTGTTTTGCTTGTCGTTTTCCAGCATCGAGAAAAGGTTTTCCATGTATGACATTTGATGCTAAAGTTATGCCTGAATGAACAGCTTGTTTTCCTAAGACTAATTCTCCTTTTTTCAGAAATGGTATAGCTGAATGAAATAAGTTACTCGAAACATCTCCCAATCCATGTCTCCATTGTCATTGACTACCAGCATAATAAGGTAAACCGTTTTCCACTTGCAATCGTAATATGCGTCATAGACGGCTGTTTCTTGATAGTAAGGAATTCTCATGATTGCGAAGATTGAGCGTTATAATCATTCTTCCTTGTTTAAATAAGATAGATCGACCAATGTCGTCCTTTATATCTATCTCTATAGTCTGAAAATCTTGTTTAGAAAGGTCTGTATTGAGGATTTGTAAATGTTTCATGATCATTTCTCTATCCTGACCTTTAACTGGAATGATTCGTATCAGTGGTACATAAGCATCCCCAATAATACTAGGTTCCACAATATCTGAATAAATATACAACAAATAAAATATACCATGCATATTAACAGTATATGGAGCATCAGGCACATTATGTCAGCTATGTGGATACTCTAGTTCGACCAAGTCCAGTTCCAACGAACCTTCATTGTTGATAGATCTCGGAAGATTAGTGGTATAGTATGTCAGAGTATTATTAGCAAAATAATTCATAGAACTGTTACTAGGTAACGTCACATACAACTGATTAACGAGAAATAGAGTTATACATATCATTTTATGATGGCAGGCGATTCAGATCAGTTTGAGGGAGCCAGTTATTGAATTTATCAGTATATCCTTTCCATTTTACAAAATATTGTTTGTTTTGAAGTCATTGGGATACTTTATAACTCTTTGTAGTTCAGATTCGTAAAATGTTCCCTTTAAATTTTCTCCGAGATAGTTTGCAATTTATATACTGGTGGATTTATCTCTATTCTCTAGTAAATTGTAAATATTTCATCTCTCCATCCAGGCACATAACTTTTTTAAATTGACGGTTCACTTTACTAATACGTACTTGATTGTCTACGTTGAATTGAAATTTTACTTTAGTGAGTGGTTTGTAAAGTGTTTGCCATACCACAGCTGATTAGAGTGATTAACATCTGTTGGTCTTATTTTAATACTGTGATGATACGATTGATTATATGCGCTGACCAGATGTTTCAATACAGCGATATATATATATATGTTCCACGAAGACTAAAGTAGCACCACATTCTAGATTTAAGAGTGTGATTAAATCTTTCTACTATAGATGCTTTTGTTTCGTCATGTGTAGTAAAGAAGTAAATATTTTGTTCCTTGAGATATCGTTAAAAGAGACGATCAGTAAACTATGTTTGAAGTTTACAAGGTTTTCGACCCTGTTTTAAAAATTTGTTTGAAAAATTTTTCAAGTGTTGCACCTTTCTTATTCTTGAGTGGAACAACCCATGCATATTTAGAAAATACGTGATACACGTGAGGAAACACTTAAACTGACTTTTATATTGACTTAGGTTGGAGAGATCCACCAAATCAGCCTACTATTGTTCATTGATCCCTGAAACGATAGCTTGGTTTCTCGAAAGCTTATATTTTACTGGCTTGTGTAGAGTGTATCTTGTCGACTTAGCCAGTCTATAACTTGATTTAGAGTTACAAATTTACCTAGCTCTTTTACAGATCTAGATAAAGGCTGTACTTCACTAAAACTAGCGGGATGTGTGGGGCTATAATAGATAGATTGTAGGGTTTTAATAGACATTGTTTTCTATGCTGTTTACTTGTATTTAATTTGTTACCATCATGTTTTTTTCTCTAACAGTATTAATAATTTGACCTTTGCAACTTTGCAACAGACGATATTAATTCTTAGACGATTCAGGATATTACTAAGCTTAAAAGGCTAACAACAGCCCACGACGACAGTCAAGACACAAATGAATGAATAATACAATAATACTTTATTTTAAATTATCCCATTTAGATACAGTACATTTACATTTCCAACAGCTTCTTGGAGAATATTCATATATGATAATCCTTCTGCAAATTCTTTCCATCCTATAGGGTTAAAATTATTTCGTTTTTGTGACACATCATTGACTAGGTCTATTATGATACTGTTTTGGGATGGATCTTCCACTGATCACTTATTCTCCACGATCAATTTTGCAACTGACCTTTTTCCTGGATTAAAAACAATATTTTCAGGATTCAGTTGCACTCCTTCATTTTCGTTATATTGGTCAACATAATACTGCTTTGCCTCCGATGTTATACAATGAGAGTGCCAACCAGAACTTTCTTGCTTTAATTTAAGAAACTTATCGACGAAGTTCTAAAAGGATGTCTAGATTTGAGAGGAAAATGATAAATATCATATATTTTTATTACCTGGTATCCACATTCGACGGCTTTGTATATTTATTCTGTGACCAAGATACCGATGAAAGATCTCTTGTCATCGCTATAGCAGTGATCTAGATTCCACACATGATCCACATAATGGAAAGGTTAATTTACCATTACATCAAAATTGTAAAACTGGATGATAGAGTTTCCTCGGGGTTAGAATTTTACATTTTATAAAAACCAAAATAATTTTCTAAATTAGAGAAACTTGTTGTTATTATTGGATAATCACAATATTTGTTTGCCCATGGATATAGCGATTTTTATACTCACGTACTTGATCTTTTCTCCTTTAATGTCGTATAAAAGTCTCGTACATCCAGGCGGGAAACTACTGTATGGTCCCTAAGGAAATTCATTAAACCTGTATCATTACACTTCATTTTCTCAAACTCATGCTCCCTCATGGGTCTATTTAGAACTACATTCTTTGGGTCAGAGTCATAACATTTATTACAATCATGGTAGTAGCACCCGTAAAACTCATAGATCTGTTTTGTTCTATACAGAAACCGTCTACTCTGTAATTCAGGAATTGTTTCTCACCACCATTAAGCATTAGATCTTTACCCCCTCAGATTTTGGTTCATAATCTAGCTATTGGATACTTACTTGGCTGTAATTGTTGCTCATAAAATATCCGTGATTAGGTATGATAGCTATCAATCGTGGTGGTATAAATTTGCTACTGTATACAGCCATGCATACAGAAGCAATGGTCGTGTATCTGAAGGGATCTGCATCACAGGTTGCAAGAAACTCTTCTCCAAATTGAAGATAGCCCCAACGAAGTATATCTATGTCTGATCGGCAGTATCTAAACATAGAAATATAGAATGATAAATATAGCTTTCAACAAAATTTCCAAGAAAACAACAACAACAAAAATTAATAAGAATCAGCACTGATAGTGTAATTTTTCTTACCCGTACATCTCTTCTTGAAAGTCAAAGATGTATTCTTCCTCTCGTCGCTGACAATGCCAATCCAGAAACTTTTGTCTTATGGGTACTGACATGGTGTCGGAAGAATAAAAAATTTAATCCAGTATAGGTCCTCGATATTCCTGTTTTGACTTTATATTGAAAAGATAAGGGAAATATCATTTCTGTAGTTCTCCTAATCTAAAAGTTCTTGGAAACAATAATAATAATATGAGTATGAAATTGTAACTAATCAATTATTCTAATTGTGAGGCTTTTGATGGTCACAACCATACTTTTTCCACCATTTAAGATAATGTCTGGTTTTATACATTGATGAATAAGATAATTCAAGATAAAGTGCTCATCAAAACCTATCATATTATGTGCTATAGCTGTATAATTCTTATGTTCTTTCGAAAATAAGAATTTACAAATTTCGCTAAATGAATTATAACCTTTAAAAACTGTTTCCACACAGAAGTTAACCTCGTGAATTCTAGTTTCCTAATCAGTCTCAAAATAAAAAAATAAGTATTTATTCGTCGAATCTTGGACTTTTTTTATCCTGGAGAAAATATAAATGGTTATTTAAGACATACGATTTAGATCCTACACATATGATTTCGCCACATCGATGAAATTCAGGATTACGTTTATTTTGTCAATAATGACAAAATAATTTTTACACTGGTAAAAATTATCACATGAAGATATCATTTGTTTACCATTATTTGATTTATGTCTGTTGTAACATTCTGCAGATTTGCAAAATCTGTTACAACCAGAAAAAAACTGTGTTGAACTTTCGAGAATTCATTACTATAACAAACATTACAATATTCAGAACAATGACATTCATTTAAATGCTCAAATGGCTTATTACAATCTTTAACAGTAATAATTTACCCCGAGGAAACCTTTCATTGATGTTATAACGTCGAAATGGTGATCATGGTACCATAGGTAAATTTTGTTTGGGCGTGAAGAACCTTTATATATTGGTTGAAATTTTCTGAAGATACTACATGTATTTGAACATTTAGATGACGTTCAAATTTAGAAATGTCTTCTATACCGCATGGTCGTTCTAGAATATTAAACGAAGTATGTAAGCCTTTAGCCATACGTGTAAAGTAGTGGTTGTCGTTGATCTCTAATACTATTATATTTTGGATCTTTTCTGAGCGATGCTAAGGCTATTAGTATAGCCAATTACTATTCCAATGTAATAACTTACATTTTGAATTAATCGTCTAATGGTATGTCTTTTTTACTTTGATTTACTTTTTCGATGGTAATTAAAATGATTTCAGGTGAGAAAAGATCCTTATTCTGTAAGCATGTACTTATTGGTTTATCCAGATGATCTGAATAAACACATACTCTTACTTTATCTCTATTGTCTAGTTGTTTCATTGTATCGTCCAGTATGTTTTGAATGTTCTTATTAAGCGTGTCTATAACGTTTATGAGTCCATGTGTTTTATGATTAAATGGTATATTGTATGTAGTAGATGTTGCGTCATACTTTTAACTCTACTATTCGCAGATTTTCTTATGATAAAATCTTCGTCTTCCATGTAGGGACATTTAGCAGATACCTGTAAAAGTCATAGAAAATGTATTAATAAATATAGTTTAAAAAAGAAAACAATTTCAGATATGTGAATCATATATAAGTTTTTGAAAACTTACCTCTCCTTCCATGCTAAACGATCGCTTGACACATCAGGAAGTTTGCATGCCTTCATCACCGAGTGTCTGTAAAAGAAATAAATAAATGAGATCATTTTGTATAGAAATTCGTATTAATCAATATAAACGATATGAAAAACTTATAGTAGTCTGAGTCTCTTCAACAGTTAGAGGCCACGGAAGGAAGTAAATTTTGCCTAATAGCTGACAAACATTTCTCTCTAATTCATTTAGATCCTCGCTGTTCATTGATAGTGAGATCATATCCTACATAAATATAAGTACAAGTTATCAGAACAGGTCTGTGAAAATCATACTGATATCAGTTCAGTTGTCCATGGTTATCACTAGTAGAACTATAAGATAAGTGAATGTTGAATTCAAAGTGATTGTAGACTGATTTACAGATGTTTATATATAGACGAGCTAGACTTGGTCAACTCAGAACTGACCCTTGTTATGTCTCAGTGACCTCTTCCATGTTGTGTTTCATCTGAATATATATATCTTCAATGTTTCAAAATATTATATTTGATATAATAATTAGATATTAGTGCTTAACGATAATCTCATACATTTCACACGTTTAAGTGGAATTGAATCGATCTTTCATATAAAAAGGCATACCGCTGAGCCAGAAATTACAGAAACTTGCAGTGTAATTGAATTCATTTAGCGTTTTGTAAAGTGAACTTTAATCTAATGTAGAACTGATTTTCATTATTATATATACTAGATATATATATATGTATATATAATGGTTATAGTAACTGATATTTTGTAAGTATGTATAATAGTATATTAGGCTTTGACAAACACTGATTTGTATAATTCATGTTACCAAAAACTTTAAAATAATCACTTGGTTTATAATTTAAGGACTTTGTATGCATTTGGAAAAATGAGTATAAATGAAATATACTGAAATAGATATCAAGAAATGAAAGTGTTGTACTGATTAGAAGAAAACAAGGTTAACTTTGTCTCCAACTGTTATGTGCCAGAAACCACGTGGTAATAATTCCATTTCCTAACATTCAAGGTTTAGCTAATAATAAAGGTCAAAAAGGTTTTCTAAACTTGAAGTGCTGCCCTATATATTTTCTAAAACAAAGCTGGTCAGTGGCTTTGAATATCAAACACGTTCAAGTGTGACCAACCCTACCCCTCACTTCTTAGTAAAAGATTAATTGCTAACAAAGTGACGTCAGTTTTCAAATTGTATGCTGCGATTCCCTAATAGTCACCTTATTAGACAGTCTAAAAGTTTTATGCAATTTGGTATTTTAAATAATAGCACAGTTAAACAGTAGGTTGTTCATTTATTATATTTAGTTGTAGAACAATAAAAGTAAATTATTTGGTTATAATAACCGTCTCATTCAAATAATATGCATGTTTTACTTGTGAAAGCGAAACAGTAAGTGGCTCACAGAACATTGTATGAAAGAATTTATGAACAGTTTAGAAATTTATTTTATACTTTCCCAAGATTTGTGTACCCAAAGAAGTTTTAAGTGACCAATGCCCAATAGCGTTAGACAATCTCAAAGTTTTATGCAATTTTAATCATCTATAGAAAATGGATGGACAAACAGTAAGTCATTCATTTAATATTTTTACTTGTTGCAAATTGTATCTGTACAGATGTTAAAATATGCAAAATAATTGTTTTAACATTATTAAATAATTACATTGATCATATTTAGAAGTATAGCATCTGCCTTTGTAAAACTCGCTCAAATTAAAACTATAAAGTATCATGTGTAAAATGAAATATTTTGTCAAATTATAACATAAAGTCAAACTAATGAAAGTGTAAGTTTAATTATTGCATAATATTTAATAAATGTTTTATTGATGACATAATTCCATGTTGAGACACATTAAAAAACAATTTGCTTTAATAACACGGTGTATATGTAGAACACCATCCAGTTTTGTAAAACATGTGTAAATGAACCATTTTGTCAAGCATAAAGTGAAACTAGTGAAAGTGTAAATTTTAATTAATAGACAATATTTCATGTTATTGTCGTTTTAGGATGATTTTCATATAAGTGGTCACAAAGTGTAATTAACTAATAGATTAGTGATAAGCGTCCTTTTATATTTTATCAGGTTGCATATGCTTTCAACGTTAAGGTTACATGATGCAAAACTTAATGAAATTAATTAACATAGATATGTTGCGTGAAAAGTATCAGATGTTTCATTCCTTTTTGGTTTAGAAAAGTGCGCACTTCTTTTTCACCAAAATTATGAAAGAAAAATTAGAAAGCCAACATTCGCAAATGAATATCATTTATCTTTCTCCTCTACCTTATCCAATAAAATCCTCAGAATACCGCAGATTTCACTGGAAGAGAGAATGGTATTCAAGACAGGGAATGGGGACTAAACTACAACATATATACTTCAGAAGGATTAGGCAAATAATATCAACTTGAGACTTTTAGTAAGAAACATTTATTGAAGCATACTAAATTGTAATCTTATAATACATAGGACAGTAAGTTTCGGGTGAATAGGCTTATTCTCAATGTAAAAACTTTACAGGTAGTTTTTGGCAAATAAGCCTATTATTTGATACAGTATATGCAATTTCATGAATTCTATGAACCAAAACACTATTAATAAGAACTCTTGGTGATGTTTACACAAGCAAACAACGTCTATAAGTTCGGAGCTCTTATTAGATACATTGTGAATTGTTTTTACATATGACTCCAGTAGAGTCAAAAGAAAGACACAAATCCATATATATGTGTCTTAGTCTGTGAAGGTTGTTGTAAAGCATATTTGTGCAAAGTTTCATCTTGAATGGTCGAAATATAGAGGAATGACAGGCCAAAAATCCCTAATTCTGTGAAATATTTTCATCTCTGACCCTTGTAAAATCACAAGCAAAGCAGAAGTTTCATATCTGTCTGATTCAATCTGTGGGGGTTGTCGTGAGGTATCTTTGTGCTAAGCCTCATTATAATTGATGGAAATATAAGGGAACTACAGGCCAAAATATGTATTTTGTAATCTTTGTCTTTTTCATTCCTAAAATTAAAACAGGGACTTAAATATTAAATGAGAAAGTCTTTTGAATGTATGGGACCAAGGTGTATGCTTTCGAAGTTCCCATACGATCTGTTCAGAAGTAAAAAAAGTAGCTCACAATAGTAACTGTTGGAAAAAAAAATAATATATATATATATATATAGCAAATACGTTACCCTCCCTGTAGGGGTAACATAAAAACGCACTTACACGAGTCTGCGCATGTGATGATCGTATAGCGGGTAAATGTTGGGTTTGAAATGCGGTGTCTTTATTATTGCACTGACCCTCCTAGGTCACAAGACCTAAATTCCGATCAGGCAGGCACTATACTGTCAAAGGTCATATCCTCTTTGGTATTTCTTAACATTCCCACTAAATGTGTCCAGGGAAAATTCCTTAGGCTTGTATTCTCTGGTCGCATCAGTCGTGTACAGGTTTAGAAATATCTTAAAACTGTCTTTCTTATTGGGGTGACTAGGTGGCATGGGTGACAAGTGCACTCTGGGAGATTTGACCACATTGGAATAAGCATAGAAAGGCTGATTCTCTAAATCTTATGCAGAATTTTTCTCTTGGCAGAGATCTCTCAATATTTAGAGAGAACTGCAACTGGCTTTTCTCTTTGTATACACTTCTGCTTAAGTGTATTTGTCTTTTGTGTGTTACAAATAAACTGTTTCTGTGGTACTGCGAATCGTCTATCAAGTTTTATTCCTCAATTTTGATAAGTCAAAAGCGAAGTGCGGTTACTATTCTTACCAGTAAGAAATCAATGTACCTGAGAATACCATATAAATTCTTATAAAGTTAGGCACTGACCACAGCTCATGAAGTTCATGTTCTGACTCTTACTCTAATATACATCTTGTGCAACGCCCCCTAGTGGCACAGCGGTATATCAGCTGATTTACAACGCTAAAAACCGGGTTTCGATACCCGTGGTGGGCAGAGCACAGATAGCCCAATGTGTAGCTTTGTGCTTAACTTCAAACAAACAAACAATCTTATGCAACCTAGAGAAACTAACTTGAAATATAAATGTGATAATGGTACAGACAGGGGTTTCATGTTTTGTCCGTTAAATTGCCACACTGACTAAATGCAAGTACTTATTACGACAAGAATGTATATGGACACCTAGCAGCGTCGGACATTAAAACTTCATCTACAACAACTCTGATATGCCCATATTATAAAAGACTGGAATTTTCTTTATATAGTTTATTTCAGTTTAGGAATTATATAACTAGTATTCTGTCAACAAATAGAAAAAGGACCCGGATAAATAAACACGTTATTAGATGGGTCATGAGATGAAAGTTTTAGCCTGTGGAAATAATAGGGAAATCGGGGGAAATAAGATGGATTGTTCTTACCATGAACTGGAAAAAAACATGAACTAGGATCATAACTGTGAAAAACAGGCTTTCAGTAGCTTTAACTGCTGCAAATGATCACCTTTATAAACACATACACAAAGTTTCATTGTTTCTTCTGCTTTTATAAATACGACGTACTTCCCTTCTCACAAATCCATTATAAAGATAAGTATATTTAATTTTTGTGTGGGTTTGTAACGACAAAAACGTTGGTCCATTCTTATGCAGTACAGCAACGCCATTTTTTTTCACACCTAAGGTGTTTTTTTTATTATATATATATATACACGCGCGCGCGCGTGATATTTGTATGAATTCTTAGCTAAAAGGTTTCAGTGTTTTAAAAATTAAAAATGCTTACTTTTTAGATTTCAATTAGATTTCTTTTAAATATGTTTTATTACAAAACTTTCCCATAAAAGTTTTGTAAATTGTATCTTTTTTTATTCCCAAAGTAACGCACGCAGTTTCATCGTGTTTAAGATTACTGGAATACAGTAAAAATACAGACAAGCCGACATTTTGTTTTAGTAGTTTTGGTTGTTAAGTGCAAAGCTACACACGGTATCAATAAGCGATTATTAGCGTTGCAATCCTTCAGTTTTACTGCTGAGTCACTGGGGAGGAGGAGAT